TCTACTTGTCTTTACTTGAAATTCATTACTCACCTGATTACTCCCGTCACTGAGAGTCTTGTTTATCGTGCGTGTTTGTACGATACAACCTCTTGTCGAGGGCGGCCGCCTCTACCATTTTCTAAGGGAAAAAGCCTTGGGAACGAGGCTGTGTACGATACGCTGTGTACGCGTCCTAAGACTAACAAAGCTCATTTACTCCAACAGGTAAAGACAAGATAACTTCAAGTTATTCTACCGAAGAAAAAAAATTTTCCGAATTCCCATTTTATGACGGTTTTTTCTAAAGGAGCAAATAAGACAAAAAAAAGGAGATATGTTTTTTTTTCTCTGTAGACGAAGTAAGTTAAGAACCGGAAAATTGCGCACTTTGCATAAGCAATGTTGAGGCGAGGCACACATCGGCCAAATTAAACTTTGTCCTGTCGTAAAAAAGTTGAAAGTTTTCATCATGGTGAACCACGCGGAAACAATTCCCCGAGACAGGGAGGATAGAAATGCGCCAATCACTGCTGCTGAAAACCCAGCCTTGTCTCCAAAAAGAGGTTGCTTTAAAAAACCACTCTATTCACAGAGGAGCACCAAGGTGGCGCACAACCAGTCGCACTCATCAAAAGACGAAACGTCACGATATCAAAGATAAGCAAATGACTCCTTTGTAAGATAAATGATAATACTTTTATATAAATCGTATTCCTTGTGTTTGAATGGACAGTTGGTTTTAAAAACACAGTACTGAAGTCAAGTCATGGATTCTCAGAGGTTAGTATTCCTGTACGCGCTACCATCGGATGGAGGACGGAATGGACCGGCGACCTTTTTCCCGCTCCCGGCCCCGAGACCCCCGCCATATCCCCGTCCTGTACTTTTCGTATGGCCAGCCGAAATATTGTTATGAAAAAACAATACACATCGTTCTGAATCAGCTTTGCAGTAGTCTTTGGGCTTCTCGTTTTTGATTCTTTATATTTTGGCTGATTAGATCTCTTTTCTAGAGATCCAACGTTTACAACTGGCAGGATCTTCGTCCGCGGTTTTTGCAGTTAATTTAATCCTTTACTTTTCATAAGAATCCTGGACTGGACTCGGGATCCTTTCGATTAGCCTATGAATAGATACGCCGTTTGGGGAAAGGGGGCTAATATAAAAATCCCGAGGAGACGGTGAGAGAAAAAATGAAAGAGGGGAAGTGAGGGAATGGGGGAACGCTTCGCCGCCCTTCCTCCCTCCCCCCTCCCTCCGTCCCCGCCTAAACTAACCAAGTGGTTCAATTCGCTCGCCGATTAAAGAAGCAGGGGTGCTTATTAATCTCGATTAGGGGCATTAAAGGGGCTAAGTCACGGCAGTCCAGTTCATTTCGTTTAATTTTGCCAATTACTTGCCCTCAATGGCTATGGAACTTAAAGTAAGCAAAGAAATTACATGCAAATGACAAAAAAACTTCCGCTGTAGTTTCCGCTGTCTTTCGTCATCTTGTGTATTAAATCCNAGCACCAAGGTGGCGCACAACCAGTCGCACTCATCAAAAGACGAAACGTCACGATATCAAAGATAAGCAAATGACTCCTTTGTAAGATAAATGATAATACTTTTATATAAATCGTATTCCTTGTGTTTGAATGGACAGTTGGTTTTAAAAACACAGTACTGAAGTCAAGTCATGGATTCTCAGAGGTTAGTATTCCTGTACGCGCTACCATCGGATGGAGGACGGAATGGACCGGCGACCTTTTTCCCGCTCCCGGCCCCGAGACCCCCGCCATATCCCCGTCCTGTACTTTTCGTATGGCCAGCCGAAATATTGTTATGAAAAAACAATACACATCGTTCTGAATCAGCTTTGCAGTAGTCTTTGGGCTTCTCGTTTTTGATTCTTTATATTTTGGCTGATTAGATCTCTTTTCTAGAGATCCAACGTTTACAACTGGCAGGATCTTCGTCCGCGGTTTTTGCAGTTAATTTAATCCTTTACTTTTCATAAGAATCCTGGACTGGACTCGGGATCCTTTCGATTAGCCTATGAATAGATACGCCGTTTGGGGAAAGGGGGCTAATATAAAAATCCCGAGGAGACGGTGAGAGAAAAAATGAAAGAGGGGAAGTGAGGGAATGGGGGAACGCTTCGCCGCCCTTCCTCCCTCCCCCCTCCCTCCGTCCCCGCCTAAACTAACCAAGTGGTTCAATTCGCTCGCCGATTAAAGAAGCAGGGGTGCTTATTAATCTCGATTAGGGGCATTAAAGGGGCTAAGTCACGGCAATCCAGTTCATTTCGTTTAATTTTGCCAATTACTTGCCCTCAATGGCTATGGAACTTAAAGTAAGCAAAGAAATTACATGCAAATGACAAAAAAACTTCCGCTGTAGTTTCCGCTGTCTTTCGTCATCTTGTGTATTAAATCCTGAATGTGTAACTGAAATCTAAATTCATTTCCTATCACCTTTTTTTTTTGTTAGGTCAAATCTAATCCCTCTTCAAAAGCCATTTCCGTTCAATTTAGTTGAACTTGATTTTAAGGATTAGGGGAATTACATGAAATCCCATTATGAAATAAATTTCATTTTCCTTAACTAAATGTCCTGTTTGTGTGGAATTGAACTATAAAATGTCTTTGCAGGAGTTTAAAAATAAACGGTATAGAACGCAATAGGATAATTGAAAGTTCACAGCAAGATCGAGAAAAAAGACTCAAAATAACCCTGTTGACGATAAAATTATGCCGTAAAATGGTGGGCTGCTTTTGCACGGACTAATAAATTATTTTCAGGAGAGATTTTAGTTTTTGGTTGCCGAACAATCACATTTTTGGAAAATACGGCCATTTCCGAATGTAGCCTAGCCGGACAGCAGCCGACCGTGTTCCGAATATACGAAGTTTCTTCGCCGTTTGTCGACTTTAATGACGGGGAGACACCAGGCCCCCGGGGGTACACGTACTTCCATATATGGGCTTTATAGGTAGTTTACACTGGGATAAGGTAATATAAATCAGGGCGTTTGGGTTTAGAATAGGGTATCATTTTCCAGGAAACTGATCAATTGGTTGAAGATTTAAGTCTACGACTAGGGAAACCGGCAATTGCCACTAAATAATAATAACAATAAAAATCAAATCGGTTTCGTTTTGGCTGGACTGTGCTATTGACCTCAGTAGTTTCTGGAAAACAGCTACTCTAGGATAGGGGGGATTTGGGGAGTTTAGTCTAGTATAGGGTAGCAATATTCAGCTGAAGTAGCTCTGGTATAGGCTAAGGGTTTCAGGGTCCCAGNTTAGTCTAGTATAGGGTAGCAATATTCAGCTGAAGTAGCTCTGGTATAGGCTAAGGGTTTCAGGGTCCCAGCAGCACTTCCCCACCCATAAATTCCTAATGTACCCCCCCGGGCCCATGCCACATAATAAGTTCAAGGCGTGCCACTCACCCCTCATTATTATTATTACTAGAAATTTGTACCGCGCATTTTCTATGAAAATCAAGGGCAGGAGCCCATATGGCTCACGCAAGGGTTATTTGTAAAGCGTTGCTGAAGTGGTTCGTAATTAACATTCGGTAATGTAAATAACGAATCCTTGTTTATCATTAGCCTTCCCGGGGCGATTCACACCCTTTTCACGTTAACAGTTATTACAACCACGCTCACCAGTCACGACTGTCCATTTTAGAAAAACACAGACGAAAATGTTCACTAAATCATCCAAATATCGTATGTAGTATGCCACTAAAGCAACGCTTTTGAAATTATTTCACTTGATCAAGTTTTGCTTTATGCCTAAAGGAAAGGACCGCTTTCAACTCAACCACTTTCTTGGCTGGAAGTTTCCTTACAGAGCAATGTTTATAAGTATGTTGGAATTTGTCAGCATTTCGACAGCAGACGAATTCCTGAAAGAGTCTGTCTCGAAACGAAGTATTTTTATAAGCGGCCAGTCTTTTTTGCCCATGTCAAACAAGTAACAATAATCGACCGATCTTATCAGTAGCACGGAATCATTCAAACAATTTACATATAAGTCCCACATTAAAATCGCGCCGTGAAGACGGGAATAGCTTTGAGGATGTCACTTTTAAAAGTTCACAAAACGGAGATGAAAGAAATCAAACCAAACAAATTAAATCAAATGTGTAGAATTTCACTGACATTGCTGCAAAAAATAGGTCGACCTCCGACAGATTTAAGTGTTTTTCTCTCACAGAGGAAACATAGTTTACAATAATCGACACATAAATAACAGGCGAAATTAAGTGACCATAACGCACATTTTTAAGCCCATTTATAACCGCAACAAAGGTGAAATTTACAAGTGAGAAGATTAATTCACCTCATCGTGCCGAAATTTCAACTCTCGGGAAAATTAACTCAGGTTTTTAATTCCATTAACGCAACAGGTTAGCCCGCGAAAGGGCATTTTTCTGGAAACAGCATAAACTCTTTGTTAAGAGCTAGCAATATCACTGAAGTACAAAATTTGGAAACAATACTAAAATACACCTTCGTAACTATTGAATAGTTTAAACCTGGAATTTCGGATATCACAAAAGAGCAAACGATAACCATCAGACTAATGTTAATCTATTTCAAAAACTAAGGCCAATCTATTTCATTATTCAAGCAATCTATTAGAAAACGTTCAATTGACAAAACAGTGGGTGTTTTGTACATTTAAGCACGTACAGAATTCTAAAGAAAATAACTGTTTTGATTGTGGCTCTTGAACTTGACAAGAAACTCTATACAAGATGATCTTCTTTCGCAGGCACTTAAAAACAGCCAGAGAACGAATTGAAAAGCAATATACTACACACTTTAACATGTCCGGATAAACATTCCGCTGGAAGCTGGGGAAGTTTACGACATTTAGAAGTTTCTTAACTTAAAGTTTGTTGTTATTTTTCTCTCTTGGAGAGCAAAGTAAAGTACCGTAGCAAAAACAGACCAATACTTAGTTTATGTACAAAATATAAATCACATTTTGGCGGATTCGACCCCCCCCAAAATCCATCGCTCAGACCGAAGTTTCAGAGTTAAGTCTTAGCACAAATTTGTTGTTTTCAAAATCAAACTCGTCCTCTGAAATGTCCAAATACGGTAGCCTACGTACAGTGACTATAATTGAAAGGTCTTCGCCTTTAAGTTGAAACACTGTCGAGGCAGATAGCGGCTTTGTCACTTGTTCTTCGCATACTAAACTCCAGTTTTGCGTTCGCCGCTTTGTTGTAAACTCGCAACATGGTTGTTCGCTCACATAACGTTCCAAAAAGGCTTTCGGCGTCATGTCAAATGTCAAGCAATGGGCTAGATGCTTAATGATACCATCCATTGAGTAGCGATGATGAAGTCGTACAGTTCGGAGATATTTCTGAAGTGGCCTCGCAAAAGACGGAAAGAGCGATTGTGCGGTTTCTTCGGGATCCATTGGAACACAAGGGCCGCGTTCAAGTTGAACGCGCTTGATGTGTCCGAACGCCTCTTCGCAGGCATTGAACAACCTCGCTTTTCGTCGTTTGACCTTTCTATCGAATTCAGCTTCTTCATAAAAGCGGTCATTTCTGGCAGGATCACGTCTACGAGTAGAAGCAGCCGTCAAGATTGCCTTGGCTCGCGGATTAACTTTGTCATTTGGTTTACCGTCAATATCGTAGAACGTAAGACTGGAGAATTGTTTATGCGCTGTCCTCGCGGGCGTTTGCATCATATAAGGATTATATTCCGGGAAATCCTTGTAGTACTGCTCTAACACAAACACAGCAGTACGCTGAATCGACAGAGGCCCGATGTTGTAATATCTACTCACTCCATCAGTGCTTCTGATTACTTTCAATGTAAACAGAGGGTCGGTTTGACGGATCCAGAGAACCACTAAAGAAGCATAGTGAAGGAACAATAGAGTATCTATCAGGGTTACTGAAAAATTAATGATGTCCATAAAGTCTGTCACTTGAGCTTCGATGATTCGTAAGCCGTAGAAGAGCCAGTAGCACACAAGAACCACAAAAACCAACACCATCATTGCGACTCGGAGAACAAATACGCGCGGCATTGAGGCCCGCGATGTTCTGAAATACAAAGCCCAGATTGCTATCATCAATAACAGTTCTTTAACTGTGAAGCTGATGAAGAGCCCATCACATTTAGAACCACAGAGTGAAGGCTTCCACGTAACCAGGGGAAATACAACGAAGAGGATCGGTGAAGCAACAGCAAAAATGCTCAAAATCGCCGCCGGGACCAGCTTAAAATGGCGCCCAAAGTTACATGGCATCCGTCGTCTCTCTTTTCCAACATCGCTAAGTGAAGTCTCGCTTAAAGTGACAATCGAGGTTGCTGTTTCAGTGATTGAAGTGGCTGTTTCGCCCCAGTTATCGTCCTGAGGGATCACCTGAACTTGTATAATTCCTTCATCTAAGATTTCTTGGCTTCCCGATTCCTCACGAGTTAGCTTCTCTCGCTCTCTCTTGTCTCTGTGACTGTGATCTTGGTCTCTATGCGCCCGATCTGATCTGTGACTCGGCATAGTTTAAATAATGAACGAAATCTCGGTTAATGAACGTTTCTCAACATGAAGCAGACTCGATGCAGCGTTAAGATCTTTGTAATGCTGAATAAAGTGCTCTATTTCCTAAGGCAGTGTAAATCTGTTAGTGTACGGGTATCATGAAACCACGTTCTGTCGGAACGCCAGTCTTGACTTTGAAGTCGATTATCAAGAGCTACCCTCAAGGGACGCTGCGATTGGTTCTTCATACTATATTAACATTCCAAGGAATAATTATATCGCTTGTCGATGATCTTATTGGGACGATCTGTACACGTGGTTTATTATTTGCCTTGCCCGGGGTGCTAAAAACTTGCAAAATTTATACCATTCGTCTTCAAATACAACAATTAGACAAAACGAAAGAGACTTGTAAATTTGCAGAATTCACATTAATTGGTTAATTTTGTTTTTGGAACGGATTTTTTTAGCTAACTCACGCCTAAAGATTTGGCGTGACTTTGCAATTGAAATTCGATAACTTGATGAAGAGATTGTTCGCAAACAAAACATAGGCGATAAAGGAAGTTGTTTTGTCGGTGAATTAACATATCGAGCGCATTGTGGAGGCTATTATTCTTTGAAATTAATAAGGAACATGTCGAGAGACAACGCTTTAAGGTAAAGAGATTCAAGCCGGAAATAGTAATAAAATGTTTCGCGGAGGTATTTTCGGGAGGGTAACGCGAAAGCATTTCAAGTATGAACGTCGGATAGATATCGGTCACGAAACTCAAAAAATACTGCTCACACTACTAAACGCGCGCGTGACAAGTTGGCGAGAGGCACAACAAAAAACACCATAAAAGTAGCTTTTTTTCCAACACGTCATTTCCGCTTCCCATTTCCTTTAGTGGTATAACAAGTGATGAAATACAAAATTGCTAAAGGTCTTCAAAAAAGATGCTTTGTTTTCTTGGATTAACCATAGGTGCGGACGTCTTTTGTATCAAAGACATTTGAGTCTATTCGAAGATTCGGCAAGAATGATGCGAGAAAGTAAGACGCGGCGATCACGTACCCAAGTGGTCGCCTCTGTAATTTGCTTTTTGCCGGGACTTAGTATACGTATTATCGGGATGTCGGTAAAAGGCCCTATAGTCACATTTGTCTGCAAGGCGATAGTTGTCCAAGGAATTTTTTTTCCAGCTATTGAGACAACTGTGCCCCGCATGTACCAGTTGCCGAAAAACCCTCCACACCGCTTCAAGAACACATTACAATCTGTTAAGCTGGGGAATATCCATGGACACGGCTGGAAAGATCGCCTTAAAATTAGCAAACTTGCCGAGTTTGGAACTGATTTGCTAAAGAAGATAGAGCTTCACCCCGCCCGGGAGCTTCGCAAAGTCGCGAAATTTTAGAGACGTTTGTGTGGTGGGGGTAGGTGTGTGCCCCAACAATACGAACGTCTGAAAAATTCGCCTTTTTTCTTCGTTCGCAAATTGAGTAATTCGCAAGTTTACTGATAAATTCCCAGCAGTGTCGATGAAAATGCCCTAAGTGGTCCTTATAAAAACTTGGGAAAAACCGTCGAAGGGACCATTATTTTTAGTGTCAGCTCAGACGATCGGCGTCGCATTCTCCGATCTTATAATTAATCGATCGCAGTCCTGCGATGTAAAGATTCGAATGTTTCCTCTCTGTTTAGTTAGTTTAAAAAGAACAAAACAGCCGACAAATGAATTCCACCTATATGTTTGACTTCCTGAACAAACAGGAGCGCAAACACCTTCTAGCATGTTTTATCATTTTAAAGGCATTTCAAGTGTTTCTTGGAAGAGTTGCGCTCACAAGCAATAATGACTTTCACTATTTTATTGGTCTGAAGACTATAAATATGCCCCCTTTTCCCTGTTTTCTTCCGGCGAAACGCGAAAGAACTAAAAAAGAAAATGGACACGAGCGCATCTTGAGATATGAAAAAACCAAAACTCGTGAAAAATATTTAAATCTTGCAATAAGCGGGTACTGTGAGATCATTTACTAGAACAGCACTACGCAAACAGCTCGCTCTAAAGTTTATTAAAAATAGTTCCTAAAAAAGTAATTAACTGGACTTAAAGATACTGAACTAATTACTTAGGTGATAATGTTCAATTTTCAAGAAAAACCAGTTTTATAGGTTGCTCTATTTAAGTTCCTTGATAAAAGCAATAAAACACATCACAGAATTTTTTGGTCCCAGGTTACTTAATCGAATTGTTACAAAATTTTTTATGACTCTTCCGAATCATGCTGTGTCGAAATTATCTTTGCGGGATTATCTCGTCTGAAAGCCGCCACTGTAGATTAACTTCAAAAGTTTAATCTTGTTATTCTCTATAAATAACACTGTCATAAATTTTAATCTTCATCCACAGCACTTAACATCTTTAAGCTTTTACGTTCCCTGATAATAAATATACCACATTTTCTTCACTTATCTTACGCTAATATGTACTGTATGGCATTACGTGACATTGTAACACATCAATGTTGCGCAATTCTTCTTTCAATGCGTGACACACCAATAAAGGGCAGAGGATGAATCCAAGTTGTTGTATTCCTGTATAGAGGTGTGTTACCAAACTTTCTTTACAGGCCAATATTCTTCACTCTTCAATGAACAACAATCATTATTACTTAAGACGAGGGAATTCGTCGGGAAGAAGAGCATGCACACGGCAAGTTGGACAAGTACTTTGCTCACCAAGCAGCCACTTTCGGATACACTAAGACAAGTAAGTTAACAGCATTGTTACTCTACACCAAGTTTAGGGACGAGCTCGAGTACGGGATTTTACTGAAAGTTTTTGCGCGTGTTCTAAAAATAAGACACCCCGAAGGCTTCATTTAACTTTTTTTCACCAAAAAGGTCACAACGGTTATTTAAACTGAAGGACTTTAAGCCCTCTTCCGATGGCAGAATAATAAAACTTCTTACATTTGATAACTTGTTCCTGCCACTACGACATTCTCGCTAAAACTCGTTGTAGAATGACGACGGCTAACACGTTTTCCCGCCAAAATGACGCTGGTTCACGCGCGTGCACCACTTACTATTCAATCTGAGAAAATCTCGAACTCGTAGTCGTCCACAAATCCTAAGCTCTCAAATATCCGTGTTTACAAGTTTTTTTCAAATTAGCGTTATCATGTATGTTAGAAGATAGGAACGGAATGCTACACTACTTTTCAGACGAGTCTAGCGCTCATTACCTTACTATTACAGGGCTGATGTTTGCAGCCTGGAAATTAGAGTTTGCGATGGAAGATTCAGATCGTGAAGTAAGATGGAGGCCTCCTCATCCAAACTATAGTGTCCAAACCCCAAGAGAGAAGGGGGGGGGGGGGGGGGCCCCCACCGGAAAAAAATTTTTTCGCCCCTCGGGGATCCTTCGTTCGCCTCAAGAAAAAGGGGGGGGCCGTTCTCCACTCCC